TGGCCCCTCTTTTGGTTGAAATGTGATGAGGAGGGGGTGATAATAGAAAGTATTCTATCAGTTGTATACTCATTTTCAAAAAAGCATAATGGCGACCTTTGATGCCACTCTTGCTCCTGCTATTTTTGAGTAATTGGTTCTGGCTGTCAGTGACTCAGCAGCCTCCTGCCTGCTTTCTTGTTTTATTTAAAAGACCTAGACTTTCACAATATATGGAATATAGTTAAACTGTGGTCTATAGTGGTGGGCATTCCATTGAAGGTTGGGTAAAAGAATGTCACATCTATGTGAGTCAGGTCAGGAAGAAGTGACGTTTATATCAGTGAACAGAAACTTTAAGGATGCTGAGGGTAAGAAAGGTTTTTCTGGGTGAAAATAAGAAATATAAGGAAAGGCAGGCAATAGCCAAGTGCCTTTGGGACAATGTTTGGGGGCAGGGGCCACATTGGGAGTCTGTGCAGGCCAAGCTGTTCTGCCTTATAGAGCCCTGGAGGTTTCGCATGGGAGAATGACCTAGGGCCTCCTGAAGATGATTCTGGCAGGCTGTGTGGGTTGATTTAGGGCAGAAATGGATGGAAGGAAACTGGTACAGAGCCAGGGATCTCAAGGTAGACTGGGCTTAAACTAAGGAAGGACAGGCCTGGTGAGGGTTATAAAGCTACCATCTGGGCAGAGCGTGTAGTGCCGCCCCAAGTGAGGAGCAGAGGAAAGCTGAGGGGGAGGGACTTCAGAATGGGAGGAATAGGAAGGGCAGCAGAATAAAATAGACACTAGTATTGCTGTATGTATATACGTGGCTGTATAACCAATGTGATTCTGCAACCTGTACACTTGGAAAAATGAGAAATTATACCCCATTTGATTCAAATGTATGATATGTCAAGATCATTGTATTGTCATGAGCAACTAATAAAAAAATGTGAAAAAAAAGGATTAAGTGGGAGGAGTGATTACAAGTGTAGATAAGGTAAAGCTTCTGGTGGTACTGGACATTTGACAGCTGTTGGACTCGCCAATGGAAGGACATTTTACTCCTTCATGGCAAAAAGACTTGTTCTTTCTGACTTTCTGAGGTAATTTCTCAGAATGGAATGGGGAAGTGGTAGAATAAATCCATCTATTTTTTTGTACCAGGGATTGAACCCAGGGGCACTTAACCACTGAGCCGCATCCTCAGCCCTTAATTTTTTTTTTTTTTTTTTGAGACAGTCTCACTAAGTTGCTGAGGCTGGCTTTGAACTTGCGATCCTCCTGCCTCAGCCTCCCAAACCACTAGGATTACAGGTGTGCGCCACCACATCTGGCCTAACTTTATTAAGTATACTGCTCTCCCTAATTCATTTTGAATCTATCTAAAATAATTTGAGGTGCATTTTTCAAAAGAGGTCTGCGATATTTTTCATACCACATCAGTGCTTCTGGGTACTTAAAAAAGTATCAGGTAGCAGGTTCCCATGAGGAGAACTTGGCACAGGCCCACATGATATGGCATAACTGTGCCCATAAATGGTACAGATTTTGGGAAGCCAGATGGCTGTGAGAGCCAGGCTGCCCCTCATGGGTTTGAGTACTCCAGAGTCCCTGGCAGAGGTGTATCTGGAACTGGAGGGCTTCTCTTATAAAAGCTTTGCGGTGCTGGAAAGAGAAATTCTTCAAGTACTTGTAGACTCTGTATTTCAGCAATATTCATCTTGATAATAATTCCTAAAGGATCGGCAGTCTGAGGAGAGAAGAGGAACCTAATATTTGAAAACATGTATTTATTGATTGAAGCTTTGGGAGTTAGCTCTGTTTCTCTAGTAGGAATTTTTAAACCATTATTGAAAAATTTATACTATGTTGAGAACCAGTAAGCATGATGAGACAATGACAAATTATTTGTAATTAGTAACTCCTTGTACAGAACTCATGAGCATGATAATGGTAATCTTACTGTTGAAAAAATTCAGGAATAATTGTGGTTTCAGCTGTTCAACAGATATTGAGCATCTGTGACATACCGGGTACTCTGCAGGGGCTAGAAACAAAATATGACCTAATTCTTAAAATTGATAATATTTTTTTTTAATATTTATTTTTTAGATGTAGATGGACACAACACAATGCCTTTATTTATTTATTTTTTTCATGTGGTGCTGAGGATTGAACCCAGGTCCCGCCCATGCTAGGCGAGCACTCTACCGCTGAGCCACAATCCCAGCCCCAAGAATTTTTAATAAATTGGTTCTGCCACAGATTAATGTTTAAGAGTTCAGATGATTGGCAATAATTAGTGTACAAGACTTTTTTAAAAAATCCCAAAGTATGCAGAATTCAGAAGAAAGCTAAAAAAACAAAAGGCTAATTTTGTAGAACAGTACAGTGGTAACCGTTTAATAAGTCCTACTCCTTAATGGAGTTTTTATTTTTTTTTTTTATTTTTTTTTTTTTTTAGGGTTTTTTTTTTATTATTTAACATGTTAAAAGAATTTAGTCAAAAAGACCAAAACCCATGTCATCATCAGACTCCTCGGATTCTTCTTTCTTTGCTTCCACTTTCTTCTCCTCAGCTGGGGCAGCTGCTGTGGAGGGTGCAGGACCTCCTGCCGGTGCTGCACCAGCTGCTGGAGCAGGCCCACCAGCCCCTACGTTGCAAATGAGGCTCCCAATGTTGACATTGGCCAGGGCCTTTGCAAACAAACCAGGCCAAAAAGGTTCAACATTTACACCAGCTGCTTTAATGAGGGCATTGATTTTATCCTCCGTGACGGTCACCTCGTCATCGTGCAGGATGAGGGCAGAGTAGATGCAGGCCAGCTCGGAAACAGAGGCCATGGTGCTGACTGTCGGGCGCGGTGCTAGTCGCCGGATGAAGTGAGGGCCTCACCCCAACGCGGCCTTAGCTTCTCGGAAGGACCGAGCACCTTGGCGGCACCTGAGGAAAGCCTTAATGGAGTTTTTAAATTGTAATTTTGTGTAATGAATGCTAACACATAAAAAATATTCTGAAGTCATAGAGGTGATTAAATACTAAACCTGTGGTTATAATTACTTATTTGAGAGCTTAGGTAAGCTGAGCACAAAGAATGGTAGTTGGGAAAATTCTTGCAACAGGTGATGGGACTGGAACTAAATAGGGTCAAGAAGGCTGTATTGACCAAGAGGTTGGCACAATGAAGCCAGGAAAGAGGGCCTGTCTCCAAAACCAAGGCTTGGCTTGTGTTGTGGAAAGCTCACAAAGGGTGGAGAGAAACACAGAATTTTGCCTGCATCCCTTCTCAGAAGAAGGAAGAAAGAATGAGGATCATAGCCAGACCTACTTTGAAAGGTGACTGTGAGATTAAATGGTTGATGAGTGTCAAGTCCTGGTCTGTGCCTGAATCATAGGAAGTGTACAGTAGACAGAAAATGGCATTGCTATTGGGAAGGATGGGTGAACTATGGCAGGCAGGATGCATCTTCCTACTTTGATATGATGGGAATGAGGAAACCACAGCTGCTTTTGAACAGAGCTAGAATGTGACTGGAATGAATTAATAATGGCTTCCATTTGAGATCTCTGTTTTGTGCTAGAAAACACTGAATGTTCAGCCCTCACCACTACCCTGTGGGGGGAGGAAGGGTGTTGTCCTCTGTGGCTCAGTGGGAGCAAACAGACCTTGTCCAAGGCCACCGCACTATTGAGAGGGAAGGTGTGTTTGAACCTGAGCTCCCTGCTTCTAAGTCTGGGTTCATTCTCCTCCTCCCGGACTGTCTCTATCTGGGAAGCTATCTGTCAGGGACTGATGACCCTTTGGAAGAGGAGTAGCTACCTCAGATAGTGATCACTGCTACCAAAAAGATGTGCAGGCTTAGAGAACATGTTGGCAGACCAAAGGAGGAGGAAATAGGACAGTCATACATTAGTGGAAAAAGAGACAAATTTAGTGATTGCTATAGAGGAGAAAAGACAGGAAGATTGGCTGTTTGAAATGAAGGCCTAACTCTCTTTTGTCTGGGCTGGGTTCCAGAAATTTCAGGCACCAACAGGGTGTTCATGGATTTTTATTCAAAATGTTAATTTTTTAACAGGCAGTTACTTAAGGCTTCACAGTACTTCTCCATAGTAAAGTCTTGCTGGGTGTAGGTATGTTGTCTAGCATGCCACTGGGGAGGGCTGAAGAACAAAGGAGTGTCCTCAGGTAGGAAAGATTCTAAGTATTCCTTTGGCTCAAGTGCATTTTTTTTTTTTTTAAGTATCAGGAATTGAACCCAGGGGTGCTTTATTCTTGAGCTACTTCCCCAGCCGTTTTTATTTATTATTTTGAGATAGGGCCTTATAAGTTGCTTAGGATCCCACTAAGTTGCCCATGCTGATCTGGAACTTGTGATTTTCCTTCCTCAGCCTCCAGAGTCTCTGGGATTACAGGGATGTACCACACCCAGTGCAGGTGTACTTTTGTGTCTTCTGCACAGTAGTGAAGGACCACCTTTAAAATTACCCAGTTATTTGGATTGATACTTTCATAAAATAGAAAAAGAAACTGAAAAAGACATGCAGAGCATAAATTCTTTCTTTATTGTTTTGTCATTAGATTCAATGTATATAAAATTACTGTCAATTGCCAAAGAAGTTTTTAAACTCTTATTCTGTATTTTTGCACTGTAGTCAGTACATTTGTCTGCAGGTAAATAAATTATTCATGTGTTGCTATACTTTGAGAGCATTGATCTAGAAAGAAAGTTTGTTAAGCAAATTAGCAAACAGGATGTTTTGGGAATATTTATCTAATTTAAGAGCAAAAATCTTTCAGTTGCCATTAAATACTTGCCATCTTTTCACTGACATTCCTTATTGGGGACAGGGCTGTAAAAAAAATCCAAGAACAGAGGCTAATGTAGTTATTGTAAGGGATGCATAAGTTTAAACTGGTAGCAATACTTGGAAAAAAACGGGTGCTTTTACTTCCTCTGTTGTGTTTATTTTTTATTATTTTGATTTATATTAACATATCTTCTCTGTTAGTCTTTGTCTATCCTTTGGATAGATTTTTATTTTTCAGTGTATAATTTTAGATTAGATGTATCCTTTTAAGGGAAAATTCTCTAAGCAGTTTTTTAAACTTTCAAGAGTTGCACAAGCTGATAGAGTGATCATGTAATAATTACTCATATTTCAAAGTAGAGTTTTGTTCTGTAGCTGCCAGTTGTATCTTACTCTCTGTTTTTTGGCTACTTTTGCTGATATCTTTCTTGTTCTGAGATACTTGCTATTCCCTGAGCCTGGACTCCTGTTTCCCTACTTTTAAGGCCCAGCTCAGTAGATGCTTCCTTCAGACTGCCTGTCCATAGTGTCCCTCTGGATGCTTCCACACTTACTGTTAGACCTCTGCTGAGCTGCCCTCACCCTGCCTCATCGCAGTTACTGTCCTCCTGGCCCCTTTTCTTCTTGCTCGAAAGTCGGGATCCCCTTTTGTTTACTGAAATTACATTATGCTTTCCAAGGCACTTTCATATGTATATTCTTTTATTTCATCCTCCAGACAATTCCATGAGGTTGGTAGGACAGAGATTCTCATCTCCATTTTAATTGAGGTGAGGCTGGGAGGGTGTCTGCATGGCATATCCCTCTCCTTTGCTCTGGGGCTCCCAGGACCACATGTACCACTCTGGCCCAGAGTTCCAAATACCTGATCAGGTTTTGAGTTTGCTCAGAGTTGCCTGTAATTTTGAGGACTTTTTCCCTACTCAGTATGTATGTTTGTTGTTTGAAAATCAAAATGTTAACTTGATACAATGTCATAGGCCTTTTTGGAAGAAAGGAATCCTCAGAATCCAATGGAGGGGGTGTCCAGTGGGGAACTAGAGGTGTGAATCCTGAATGGTACACAGGGAGAAGGGACTTCTTGTTGTTTGTTTTGCAGTACTAGAGATTGAATCCAGGGCCTTGCCCATGCTAGGAAAGCACTGAGCCACATCCCCAGGACATTTTATTTTATTTTAAGACGAAGTCTTGCAAAGTTGCCCAGGCTGGTCTGGAACTTGTAATCCTCCTGCCTGTGCCTGGGGAGTAGCTGGGATCACAGGTGTGGACCTTCATGCCCATGAAAGGGGATGTTTTTAAGAACACATTCAGCAGTGCTAGTTGTCTCACAAATGATTTATTTTCTTTCCCTTTTTGGGGGGGGCTACCGAGGATGGAACCAGGGGCACTTAACCACTGAACCATATCCCCAGCTCCCTACCCCGCCTTTTGAGGGGTTACCAGGGATTGAACTCAAGGGTACTTGACCACTGAGCCACATTCCCAGCCCGTTTTTTGTATTTTATTTAGAGACAGGGTCTCACTGAGTTGCTTTGCACCTCACCATTGCTGAAGCTGGCTTTGAACTTCCAATCCTCCTGTTTTAACCTCCCGAGTCGCTGGGATTACAAGCATGCACCACTGCACTTGGCTCTACCTGTATTTTCAAACACAGTGAGAAAGTGAGTTTGCCTTATTTCAGCAGTAATAGCCCAGTAGATTGAGATTACACAGAGCATTTCTTTCTTTCTTTTTTTTTTTTTTTGGTGTTGCTGGGGGATTAGAACCCAGGGCATTGTGCATGCAAGGCAAGCACTCTACCAACTCAGCTGTGTCCCCAGCGCTATATAGAGCATTTCTTGTGCAAAAAAGATCCTTCTTGAAAAAAGAGAGTTGGAGCAGGATGAAAAACCACTTTTAGTTCAAATCGGAAACCATTTGCTTTTGCTTTTGGGATGTGTTGGATATCATCTGTTTATGGTCGTCAATCCTAGGTTTCACATCCAGCCCTGCCACTTGGTCTAGGTAGTTATGTGACTTTGGCTAAGTCATTTTACTTTCCTAGACTTTTTTTCTCACCTTGTAAACTGGGGTAAATATTAGCTCTATTGCAGGATTTTTGTAAGGATTAAAGGCAATATATGCAAAGGACTCCCTAAGTGAAAGTTCCCTGGAACCTAATACAAAGAGGGAGTGTGGCCCTCCCTCCAGCAGTGGTTCTCAAGCCTGAGGGAGCATCAGAATCACCTAAAAGGCTTTTTTTGAACTACAGCTTGTGAGGCCCACCTCCAGAATTGCTGGTTCATTGGATCTGGGGTGGGACTTGAGAATTTGAATTTCTGAGTTTCTAGGAAATGATGCTGCTGGTATTGGTGATCTGGGGACCACACTGTGAGAACTACTGGGCTAATTTACCAGCAGGCATTAGGTGCTATAGATATCTTTGAGAGCGGAGCTTTATGTGGTTAGAGTTACTCTATAATATAAAATTCTTGGAATGCATTTTGAAAATTCAGAATTTAGTATCTTGTAGTTCAGTAGTCTTTGTTACAAGTATTTGAAGGAAAATAAGTTGTGGAAGTAATAGTTATAAACATACATTATGGATAGTCTAACAATATCTAATTGGATGAAGTATGTGAAAGTGCTTTTATGAAATGTTAGATGAATATCAAATCACAACTGAAAAAATATTTTAAGTAACTTTGTTTTTAAGATTGACCATCATAATGGGGTGTAAAATAGTGTGACTTAGATTCTCATCTCAATGTGCTGTTTACTGTATGTATTTTTCTCTTTCTCCTCCAGGCTGCTGACTTGAGTAAACCAATAGATAAAAGGATATACAAAGGAACACAGCCTACTTGTCATGACTTCAACCACCTAACAGCCACAGCGGAAAGTGTCTCTCTCCTAGTGGGCTTTTCCGCAGGCCAAGTCCAGCTTATAGACCCAATCAAAAAAGAAACTAGCAAACTATTTAATGAGGAAGTAAGTAGCACGCTGTCTTAGCTGTTAAGAATCCCTTTAAGAGTTTATGTGTTCTTACCAAGGGCCTAATTTTATACTTCAAGCTAAGTTTTTCATTTACTCAGTCATTCTACCTAGTATTACAGATTTAAATGTGGTGGATTGATTTGTTGACCTTTACTGTTCTTCCTTGGATAACTGTTTCGTGCATTTGTATGGGGCATGCTCAGGTACCTACAGCAGATTCTTTAAAAATCTTCTATAGTGGAGATAAATACGAGACTGTCACTTGATAAGAATGATTTAAAGAAGAAAATAAAGAATTCCAAACTTTGTTCACGTTAGTGGAAAGTTTCATGCCAATCAACCTGATATTTCCTTAGACTGCTCAAATTGCATCTAAAGTATTTGTATGCATGTTTGACAGGGCTGACGGGTAGTTCTCCTGTTCTTGAAAATATTTGCTGTAAAATCACCTTTGACATAGTTAGAAATCCTGGCACTTAAAATTGGATCACACCACAGAGCTTTTGTCAGTGTTGTTGTGTGTTCTGAGGTTTCTAGTATTTGTATTTTCATTGTGGAGGGAGCCTGAGCTGTCTGACCTGCCTGTTCAGGAACAGGTCAGGACTGTTAAATGTGGCAAGTAGAAGTTACCAATAGTTTATGTTAAAATCATTGGAGGGGCTTTTGGGCTCTAGATATTGCCTTTATATACTATGGACTTTCTCCTCTGTTTCATTGTGACTTTCTAGAAAAGGCAAGGCTGAAGCAGACTTGCTGAGTTACAAGCTCTGGTTTCCAAGTGTTACTTGTTATTCAGCCCTGATGTGCAAAGGATTGAGTCATATGGTAGTTTTGCAGTGTTATATGGTTTTTACATCATTGACTTTTAACAGAAACTTGTTATAGAATTCTGGTGTTTTAAGAAATAATTTTGTTTGGGAAGAGTCTGCCCCAAACTTGACAAATTGCAGTTAAAATTCCAATTCTTTTGCACTCATTAGGGTACATACTCACCATGCATATCCGGTATCCATACATTTTGGCATTGCCAATGGATTTGGTGAAATCTTTTGAATCGTGCCATCTCCTCTTCTAGTTTCACCTGGGTTGACTGGAAACAAAACTTGCCATCTGAATTGACAGACTGCAGAGGAAAAGTGTTTAATCTCATTTTCCTGTTAAAAAAAAAATCTTAAGCAAAAAATATTCTGTTTATTAATAACATCTGAAGAAGATTTCTAAGTAGCTGGATGTTTTTTTAGGGAGGGTGGGGCACAAAATTGGCCTTTTATTCACTGTTAATAGACATTGTGAATTTGTAGTCATTGGGGATTTTTTTGTGTGTTTAGGTAGAGGAGAGTGTGATGGAGGGGGGCGGGACTGGAACCATGTGCAGGGCTGTTGGTAAACAAGATCTGGAAGCAGCTCTGGCTGAGGATGGCACAGAATGCCACTTAGAGAACAAGAAAGGTTTGTGTATCATGGCTGGGGGGAGGGTGGGAGTTGGAGTCCAGGAGGCCCTGGCGACTTGGGGCTCCAAGAATACTCAGGCTGCCTCAGCCAGATCCATCCCTGCCCTGGGGACCAAGAGTTGCCAGAACACAGCACCTTACTCTTCACGATTTAAGCACAAGTTATCTCATAGTCCTTTTAAATTTTATTTGAAAAATGGTTGTTCAAATGTGTTTGTGGTTTGATGCCAGGCTGGCATTTGCATCTTGAGGCTGAAATTGTCTTTCCCAGTGTCTTTGGCATTTGGGTACATTTTCATCAGAATTTAGTCAGGATAGCTAAAAGCATGGTACTAGAGGTTCGTTTCTCAGATAGTGCCAGGACTGGGTTTGAAGCAGTCTTCATGCCGTGTTTTGCACTGCTGTGAGATTTAGAGGTATCCAAGTTCTTGTACATGGGAGGGCGGACACTTCCCATTTTGCAGAACAGGATATAGTTAAAGGGAAGGTAAGTGAGTGGTCTGGATCAGATAGCAAATTGATAATAGATTTAGAACTGGAAATTAATACCAAAAACTTTGGTTGTAGGTTGACAAATTGCAGTTAAAATTCCAATTCTTTTGCATTCATTAGGGTACATGCTCACCATGCATATCCGGTATCCATTCATTTTGGCATTACCAATGGATTTGGTGAAATCCCCACTGTGTGCGGCTGCCAGGCTGGCCCTTGCCTTCTCAGGAGTCCACAGTTAGTAAGGAAGGGTGGGTAGAGTACTGAGGCATATATTATCATAGTGATGTGAACAAATACCAGTGGGATACATGTCACCTTTTTCTTTAGTATGTATCAAATGTACAATTTTCTTAAAAGAAATGGTGGGAAAGTCTGAGAATGCTTTCAGAAGGTGACATTTGGTCTGGGTCTTGAAGGGTGTTACAGGAGTGGGAAGGGAAGTTAAGGAAGGCTTTTAAAGCTGGAGAAAACAGCTTGGCATTTGGTAGAACATCAAATAACATCATGGCCAGATCATAGGGTTTGAGACTTGGGGTGGCAAGAGTTAAAGCTGGAGAGATAAATTGGAACCAGATTGTGAAGCCTTTTCATGTCATGCTGAGAAATTTGGGTCTGACACCGGAGGATGTGGGGAAACCTTTGGGCTTTTAATCAAGAGGGTGACAGGATTAAATAGTTTTTAGAATTTTTGTCAGCACTTGTAGGTGGATTGGATTTAAGTAAGAGAAAATGAAAGTAGCAAGACCAGTAAGGAGGTGAGAGCTGAGGCTTGAGCTAGACTTGGGGCCATTCTTACCTTAGCTCAACAGACCATGACCGTCTATTATGTGCCCAGCAACAGGATCTACAGTGGCGGATAAAACCTGTCCTTGTGCAACTTTTAAATAACTGTACCACCCATGCACACTGATGGTAGCTTTATTTTTTTTATTTATTTTTTTTTTGAGAGAGAGAATTTTTAATATTTATTTTTTAGTTTTCGGCGGACACAACATCTTTATTTGTATGTGGTGCTGAGGATCGAACCTGGGCTGCATGCTTGCCAGGCGAGCACGCTACCGCTTGAGCCACATCCCCAGCCCAACACTGATGGTAGCTTTAAACTAGCAGACAGAGGAAATCTGAGCAGAAATGGTGTTCTTTAAATGGAATCCTCATGAGGGGGAATCCTCCCAGGTAGGGAATTGCTGCAGAACACACAGCAGGTAGGAAACATTGCAGGAGCAGGGAACTGAGAGAACCTGGCCTGGGCTGTGTGAAGTGAGGGTGAGATTGGGAGGGCCTGTTCAGGGTTGCTGTGTAGCTTGAGTAATGAGATTCTGTTGAAGGGAGTGGAAGCACAAGACAGCCAAACTGGTGGGGTTTTTTGTTTGTTTGTTTTAACATTTTTAAATTTTCAGACTGGTATTTTTGGAACTTACCCTGGTTGCTTTCTGGAAGTTGAATTGAAGATAGGTATTAATAAATCTTGTGTAGGGCAAGGGAGGTAGCTCAGTGGTAGAGCTCTTGCCTACCTTGCCCGAAGCCCATTGTAAAAATTTAAAATAAAAAAAAATAAATCTTAGGTTTCTGGTTATTAGTTACTCACTGAACAAGACTGGGAAATAACCAGAAGAGGGGAACAGAAGGAAAGAGCAGAGGTTCTATTCTATACTTGGTAAATTTAAGATGCCTATAGATAATTGGATGTAAGGATCTGAAGCTCAAAAATAGGGATTAAAAATTTGGGAGTTGTCAGCATACAAATAGTAATCATAAGCCTTAGATTAGATGGAAAGGTCTGTAGAGAGAGTGTACTAAGATCAAAGAAGAATGCCTGGGTCCCAGTCCTGAGTGTATTCCAATTCTGGTCATCTCTTTCCACAGCCTCCAGAGAAGCCTAAAGCCATCAATTAATCTCCACTAAAGTTACAGTGTTGCAGTCCAGTGGTTAAGAACATAGACTCTTGAGCCTAGATGGCCTAGGATTCATGTGCTTTTTGCTTGCAGGGTGTGGGTTTTCACCTCACTTGCCTCCGCAGTTGGCAAATGGGTGGAAGAATACTCACTGGAAGTTTGTGGTGAGGATAAAGGTGAGCCCATTCAGGTCATTTAGTAGTAAGCCATGATAAGTGCTCTGCAGTATGGCAAGTAGGGGCAGACTCGTGAGGCTTCCTTCCTGGAGTTGGAGATTTAGATGAAAAGGCATCCTTGGGAGGTGAGACACCCACAGCTTTGAAGGATAAAAAAAATTTCTAGCACAAGAAGGTGTGGTGGTGCACACCTGCAATCCCAGCTGTTCAGGAGGCTGCAGCAGGAGGATCACAAGTTTGAGGCCAGTCTGGGCAAAGTGGTGAGACTGTGTCCCAAAATAAAATAAAAACAGGGCTAGGGATGTAGCTCAGTGGTAGAGTGCTTGTCTAACAAGTATGAAGTTCTCCCTTCAATCCTACTACCACCCAAAGAAAGAAAGAGCAAGCAGTGCAACCCAGGCAGAGAATCACACAGATAAGGCAGAGGTGGGGCTGCTTGTCAGGTAGTGTCCTCTTCCTGTCTTCCTCACCAGAGTGCTTCTCTTACCACCTGTTACACATGTGTGCCCGCAGCATTAATATCTCTGACCTTTGCCTGCTGCCTAGTACGTGAATATTTGGGTGGATGGATGAATGGCCTGTGATTATAAATCTCTGAAATCTACTGGAAATAAGTGAAAATTTTCTATTTGGAAACAGGTATATTTTAAAAGGCAACTCCCTCCCTATCAACTACAAAATATAAAATACTTGTTTAATGGGAAAATAGAGAGGTACAAAGAGGAAAGCATCATCCATCAGTTGTAGTGCTGTTAATCTTCATAATCTTCTTTTTTTTTAGTTATAAATGAACACAATACCTTTATTTTATTTGTTTATTTTTTATGTGGTGCTGAGGACTGAACCCAGTGCCTCACAAGTGCTGGGCAAGTACTCTACCACTGAGCCACAACCGACACCCCCCCCCGACACCCCCCCCCCCCCGCTTTTTCTTAATGAGACAAGACATTAAGGGTTTACACTTTTCATTAGAGAT